CAAAATCAGGTTTCGATCCAAGACTGTAATTTGCTTTTTAGATCACAGAATCCATCAGGATAATAGGTCCCTTCATGAGATTAAATTATTCTGTCTGAGCTCCAGACAAGTCAAATTCAAAGATCTCAGCAAATGAATGATTAAGGGGCCTTCTTAGCAAACACATGGAAATAAGCAAACTCCAGTTCTGGGAGATTTCTCCATTGATACCTAAGGAGAACTGAAGACTTCCCAAGTTTGGCAGACTTAGCGTTAGCAGCTGGGCTAGTCAGCATTGGAAAATGGGAGCGATGCCTCTCAGTCTGCTGTGGGGACGCCTGTTTGTCATACAGGATTCGACTAATTATAGCCACAGCTTGGAGGGCTGTGCAAGACTTGGATGGAACCCACCATTTTCTGTCTTCTGAATAATAATGATCTTATGTTTCTATAACTCATCCCCAGAATGCCAACATGCTTTACAAACTCGATGCAGAGATCACCCATGTGCTACTGAAGTGCATCCACTAGTGGTTAGCTGTGTGGCAGTGTTGTAGGATATGGGGAAGCTAAACTCTCTGGAGAATAACTAGACTCTGTGGAAATGACGTGCAAGGTGCTGCAATTTAGCCCTCACCTCTCTATAACTTGCTGCTTCTTTAAGCTCTTTGTTGATTTAGGGGTATTCTGCAACAACAGTTTCAGAATAACTCCCTGCATGGATATTCTATTAGCTGAATCCTCTTTGGTAAACAGAAGCCCCAGCAGCAAACTGAAACACATCACTCCCATTTTCCAATGCAAACTAGCCCACTTGCTAAAGCTGAGGTGGCAGAACTTGCCAAGTCTTCATTTCAGTGTAGGTGTCTGTCCTGGGCCTGCTATTGTCCTGTATTTTCATTAAGGACTTGGATAATGAAATGGAGAATTTGCTTATAAAACTTGCAGATGACACCAGTCTGGGAATTGTTGCTAGCACTTTGGAGGCCATGATTAGAACTCAGAACGATATTAACAAATTGGAGAAATGGCCTGAAAGCAATAAGATGAAAATCCAATAAAGACAAGTGCAAAGTACTACACTTAGGAAGGAAAAATCAAACACACAGCTACAAAATGGGAAAAACTGGCTATGCAAAAGCACTTGAGAAAGATATGGGGGTTATAGTGGATCACAAATTACATACGAGTCAACAGAATGATGCAATTCTGGAAAAAAAGCTAATATAATTTCATGGTGTATTATTAGGAGTGTCGTATATGGAAGACACAAGGGCTGTGTCTAGACTGGCCAGTTTTTCCGGAAAATCAGCCACTTTTCCGGAAAAACTTGCCAGCTGTTTACACTGGCTGCTTGAATTTCCGCAAAAGCACTGACGATCTCATATAAGATTTGGCAGTGTTCTTGCAGAAATACTATGCTGCTCCCGTTCGGGCAAAAGTCCTTTTGCGCAAAACTTTTGCGCCAAAGTGCCAGTGTAGACAGCCCAGATTTGTTTTCAGCAAAAAAGCCCTGATCGCAAAAATGGCGATCCGGGCTTTTTTGCGGAAAAGCGCGTCTAGATTGGCACGGATGCTTTTCCGCAAAAAGTGCTTTTGCGGAAAAGCGTCCGTGCCAATCTAGGCACTCTTTTCCGAAAATGCTTTTATGCTTTTATGCCAGTCTAGACATAGCCAAGATGAAATTTTCTCAGCCTCAGTACAGGTAAGGCCTCAGCTGGAGTACTGTGTCTGATACAGGGTTCTACTCTTTAAAAATATGTGGACAAATTAGGGAGAAGTCTAGAGCAGAGAAACGAAACTGATAAAAGCTTTAGAAAACTTGATGTACGAGAAAAGGAAAACTGGGCATGTTTAGTCTACAGAAAAAAAGACTGAGGAGGGGTATGATAAGGCTTCAACTTTCTTAAGGGCTATTATAAAGGAGACTGATCACTAGTTCTTTCTCCATTGAAGTAAGAATGGATAAAAAGTAATAGTCTTTATACACAGTAAGGGAATATTAGGTTAGATATTAGGAAAAACTTTCTAACTAAAAGGATCATTAAGCTTTGCCATAGGCTGCTGGGGGTGTATGAAATCCCTGTCATTAAAGGTTTTTAAAAACAAGTTAAATGCTTGTCAGGGTGGTTTAGTTATACTTGGTCCTGCCTCACTGCAGGGGACTGGACTAGATGACCCTTTGAGGTATTTTCTAACTCAATATTGATATATTATAGTTAGAATCATGTAAGTGATTCTATGAATAAAGTCACTTTTACTCCAGAATGGAGTGTCCACATAAAGAGTTATTCTGGCATCACTAGTGTGCGGTATCTGTTCTGCAATAGCTAGTCTGCTTGATTTCCTTGTGTAGACAAACCCTTAGATTCCTTTGACTGTCAGTGGGGGATACAACTAGTCTCTAAGGAAGACATCCTTAGCCCAACTAAACTCCCTCAATTACACTGCTTTGTACCTCATCTCTAAGGGTATGTCTACACTGCCACCCTAGTTCGAACTAGGGTGGCTAATGTAGGCATTTGAAGTTGCAAATGAAGCCCGGGATTTAAATATCCTGGGCTTCATTTGCATCTTGCCGGGCGCCGCCATTTTTAAATCCCCGTTAGTGCGGACTCCGTTCCCGCGGCTACACACGGCACGGAGTAGGTAGTTCGAATTAGGCTCTCCTGGTTCCACGAGGAGTAATGGTAGTTCGAATTTTTAGAAAGACATCTGATTGTGGTTTAAAGACTTCAATGATGGAGAATTCACCACCTCCCTAATTTAATTGCTCTCCAATGGTTAATTACCTTCACTTAACAATGCATGTCTTATTTCTAGCCCTGTCTAACTTCATCTTCAAGTCACTGAATCTTGTAATTTTATTGAAAGTGCTTTGCATGTTGGTTTTAATTCTTTCCATTATCTGAAGCCTATATGTGATGTTGAGAAGGGTGCGGTTACCTAGGAAACACCTATGGCGTTCAATTTGTTGATTGGGTGTGTTGTTGGATGAGAGGGTGGAGTTTGAAAGGGTAGATGTGTGTGTGCAGTGCACAAACAGAAAATGTGTCTGCTGGTGAGATTATGTCCCTTGAAACTTGTTAGCTGAGAGAAACTTTGTTGAATTTGAGGGCCTGCTGGCAGGCTCTTCTGTTCTTTGGAAAATATTGTTAGAGGATGAGTGAAAGTGCTAGAGCCCAGGGCTTTAATAGGCTAGGGTAGGGGAGATGGTTCTAAGTCAGAGGTGGGCAATAATTTTTAAAAGGGGGGCACTTCATAAATTTCTGGCCATGGCTACCTTGCTGCTCCCCTCCCCCCACCAACCAGCCAATCAAGACCTGGGGACGGGGAAGCCCGCGAAGTAGGGATGTAATAATATAGTCGATTAACCAATAAGCAAAAGCTTATTGGTTAATGTTATAGCATTTCCCTCTCTTCACTTTGCCAGTACATTTTTTAGCATGCTGGCCAGCAGCCTGGCTCAGTCCCAGCTTGCGCCAGGTCTGGGACCTACCCCTGCTGTGACTCTGCATTTAAAATGTATTAGAAGCCAGGTACGCAGGCAGCCCGGCTCAGTCCTGGCTTGTGCCAGGTCTGGGACTTACCCCACTGTGGCTGTGCCTATTCCCACTGTGGCTCTGCATTTGAAGTGTATTAGGAGCCAGGCAGGCAGCCCAGCTCAGTTCTGGCTTGTGCCGGGTCCGGGAGCTCAGACCCTCCCCCCAGATAGGGGCTGATGCCACTCCATGCTGCTGCCTCTGTATTAGAGGCAGCAGCACAGGGCAGCAGGCAGCCAGTGCATGAGGGGAGCTGGATCCGGCCCACGGAGGCCCCTTTGCCCTCCCCTGTTGTTAGTGCTCTGACAAAGGGATGTTTTAAGATAGCCATAGAATCCTCAAAATGTAGGGCTGGAAGGAACTATCATCTAATTCAGCCTCTGCCCTGAGGCAAGACCAAGTAAATCTACCATTCCTGATAGGTATCTAACCTGTTCTTAAATATCTCCAATAATAGGGATTCCACAGCCTCCTTTGGCAGCCTGTTCCAGTGCTTGTCTCCTTAGAGTTAAAAAGCTTTTTTCCTACTATCAGCTTTAAATTTCCTCTGCTTCAGGTTAAGCCCATTACTACATATTATATATATATTTTATAAGAGAAATGTCCAGCTCTGGGTTAGTGACAATCCATCAGATCATCCAACGAGAAAGGAATTTAAAAATCCAATTCACTTTTCACCAGTCATGCTGTTTGCTGTTTTTTGCATTTTGCTCAGCTGGGACCATACAATTAGGGCAATCATTGTCATTCTGATTTCCTGTCAGTTTTGCTTTCATGTTCTTATGCACTTTACTGGTACTGCAGTGTCTTAGTCACAGGTCCTGCAGGTGAGTGTTGATTTGACTTATAGGACTGGAAAGGACTTCAAGAGATCATCTAGTCTAGTCCCTTGCACTTATAGCAGGACTAAGTATTATCTAGAACTCAGATTATGTTTTTATTTATTGAACCCCCAAACTGTATCTCTATTTCAAGTTTAGTGCCCATTGGTGGATCATTTGGCTGGGGAGAGCGGGGGTTTAATACACAAATGTGTGATTATGCCAAGAGATCTAATCCTACATACATGGACAGGCATGTGGTCACTGCATGTACAGGATGGTACATCAAGGTATGTCTCTTGTGCAGAGCATCCTTAAACTCTTACCAAAAGGGGGAAATAGTCAGTTTGGCTTTCTTAGCAGAGTGGCTTGGTGGAATTTCAAGTCCCTCTTAATAGATTGCTTGCCTTTTGTGTGGGGGAATGCTAGACTCCTCCTGACTGAAAATTACTTTTTGGCGTTTGCTAGGAGCCTTATGGTGTTTGCAAAGATTCACAGCAGCAGGTGCTCATTTAAGACCAAGAGCAGCGTATTTCAGCTTGACGCAATGGACAACTGCTGCCCATACTGCACCTGCTTCTGTCCTATTAAGAACAACCAGCACACTGAGTGGCATTCACAGCAGTGCTCATTATTCTGCATCTGGAGCCATTAAAACTTGCAATATCAAACCACACTATGGCAGGGCCATGGACTATTTGCTTCCTTCAGGGCAAAAGGTATGCTAAGAGCTGGAATGAATTCCTCTCTCCAGTCTCCAGGCAGCCATCTCTCTGTTTTGCTAATCTCTCATCTGTGTTGTATCCCTCTGATGATTCAGGAGCAGTATTGATCGTAATCTCCACTCTTCATTTACCCAGAAGGACTCTGCTTATAGCTGCAGTGTGGGTTAAATCAGGGGAAAATGGGGTTTGGGCAGGGTATTTGGGGCTCCAACATAGGAGGCAGAGCATCCATGGAAAGGGTAAAGATACTGGCTATCGTACAGTGCCGCTTCCTGCTTTAAAATAACAGCCAGGGACATTTTGTTACCTGTTGTGGGGATAAATCTGTGGCAGTCTTCTCTAACTTCAGGGGGAAAAGACATGGATGTTTGGAGCAGAAACTGGGTTCTAGTCCTGTCTTCCCAGGAGAGTTGTGGCTTATTCGGTAGCTGCATCTGTTGCATGCAGGAGATGCATGTGCTGTGTGAAATTCTTTAGCTTGCGTTCTGCAAGAGGTCAGTCTAGAGAGCTGTAAAGATGCTTATGGTGTTGAAATCGATGAGGCTGTCAGGTTAGATGGAATTCCATTGAGACACAAGTTCAGGTTCCAGCTTACTACATCCTTTCATGAGAGACGAAGTGAGCACCCTGCGAAATGTGTGTGGTCTTCTGAGGGACCTTGCAGAATGAGGTCCTTTCATTCAAGATCCCTCCTTTGCTCCACGCTGGCTGCATTTCAATGTTAGTGACCCTGTCTGGGATGCATTTGTGGACACTATAAGCTGTAATTGCTATTACACCCGAACAGTTCTTAGGCTCAGTGACCAGGCAGTGAACTGTACCACAGAGACGGTGGTTGTGCAGTGTGCGCACACAATTATTTTGCTTCACTAATTGTTCTCACTTCTTGCTGTTTTGGCAAGCTGAGCTACACACAGGCCCCACTTTACCTTTCCCCAGGAGTAAAAGATACTGACGTCCAGGCAGGATGTACATGAAACTTAGCAGCTGTTGTAGAAAAAAGGCCTCAATGTGGGAGCCTCTTACTGAGCACACATGATATGGAGAGAAGTAGAGTCTGTCTTAGCGTGAGAGAGTCAGCATTGTGCGGAAGGAGGAAGATCTTGGGGGTGGCACTGAATAGACTTCTTTAAAAGAATTTGGGACCAAATTCTTTGCTTGTGTAAACTGAAATCAATGGAACTACCTCCACGTATGGCAGCAGAGAACTTGGCCCATGAAATTTTATATTTGCTGATGAAGTCAACATGATAATTAAGTGAAGAAACAGAGACTGGGATGGACCAGCATTCATGCTGGTAGTTGTAGAGTATGAAGCCTACAACCTGCCTGAAAAAAGGTATGAGAATGCAAATATTTATTCTCTTTAGAACAAGAGCCAGATAAAATTGCTGGCTCTACATAAGCAATCACAAGCTCTTTAATATGAATCACCTAAAACTCCTGGGTGATCCCAGGCTAAGCTGATGGGGTGGACAGTTAGGGAAAGCATCTTACAAATTGATAGAGTATGATCTGAGAGGCATTGAATGTGGGACCTTATGGTGCAATTTAATTATTGGCCCTGTGCTTTGAACATCTATTTCCTCTTGGGGAGACGAGTGGATATGTGGCTCTGTTAGGCTGAACAGTAGAAGGTGTCAACGTGGTCTTACTGTTTGCACTATGGTAGGGATGTTAAATAACGGTTACTTGACTAGTCGATTAACCTCATGAATTCTTATCTATTACTAGACTATTTTGTAGTCCCCAGGGGTGGGGCCAACAGCCAGTACACTCTGGCCTCACTCCCAAGGAGCCCTGTGTCATTGCATGCTGCTGCCTCTGTATTGGAGGCAAGCAGCCTGAAGTGGCAGGTGGCAGAGCTGGCCCAAGCTACGGGCTGACCGGGCTAGTACCCGGGGCGCCCCATTGTAGGGGGCACCGTGTGAGGCGGCCAGGCTGGGTGGGGGCGGCACCGCGCATGCACCGGGTGCTCAGGGGCGGGGCCACGTATGTGCTGGGCCCAGGGGCAGGGTCGCACATGCGCCACACTCCTGGGGGTGGCGCCTCGCTTCCGGGGTGCACGAATGACTCGGGCTGGCCCTGCCAGGTGGGAGCTGGTTCACGAGGGCAAGGCAGTTTAAAAACCAGCTCCCCTCACCGACCAGTTGCCTGTCGCCCTCTGCTGCAGCCTCTGATATAGAGGCAGCAATGCAGGGTGGCAGCAGCCCCCCTTCGGGAGGGTGGTCTGAGGTCCCAGACCTGAGCTGGGTGGGCTTCCTGCCTGCCTGGATCCTAATATACTTTAAATGCATAGCTGCAGCAGGATAGGTCCTGGACCGGGCGCAAGCCAGGACTGAGCCGGGCTGTCTGCCTGCCCTGTTCCTAATACACTTTAAATTCAGAGCCGCAGCAGTGATAGGTCCAATACCCAGCACAAGCTGGGACTGGACTGGGCTGCTGGCCAGCTTGCAAAAAAAATTAACTGTCCAGGGGTAGGGGAATGTGTGTAGTCTATAGCATTAACCGATAAGCTTTTGCTTATCAGGTAATCGATTAATCAACTATGCTATTACATTCCTGTACTACGGCATACGCTTCAGAGTCAGAACTGGAGACTTTTGTAATCCCAGTTTTTGATACTAGCTCACCATGCAACTTTGGGCATATCCTTTAACTTCTCGGTGCCTGTTCTGTAAAACATGAATAATAAGGTGTGAATTATAACATGCCTTGGTTAAACAATCTGTGATGGCATGATAGGTCAAAGGTAAGGATGCAGCATGGTATTTAAAACAGACCCATTCTTAGCCCTACTCTGCTTGATTCCTCCCTATTACTTACCTTGGTTGGAAGGGGACTGTCATGGACTGCCTGCCCTTATAATGACCAAGTACCTGGGACCAGCTGGCCCTGTCCAGTCGTCATATCCAGAGCTGGAAAGGGGTTAGTAATGCCTTTAAAGGGCTGAGAGCTCAGTTGAAGGGCTGGAGGTTTGCTTCTGTTTCTGGCTCTGGAACAGATGGGGTGCAAAGGACAAAGTCTGTGAGCACCTGTAGCTTATGTGGGTTTGGGAGTAGCCGTGTTGAATGTTTTAAATTTATAAAGCGTGTTCCAAGAGGAGGCCCTAAAAGAGAGTTTGGGGGGGGGGCGGGTGCTGGTTCTTTCTGGTTTGGGTGAGATAGGCTTTTCAGGAACCAGAAAGGTACAGTGAATCAAGTGCATCTCGTGCTATGCCTACTAGCTTGGGAGAACATGTGTATGGGAGGTTTGCATGGCAGGGACATGCTGAAAACTCATCCTGGGATAATCAGTTATTTTAGTGATGGGCCAAAATCAGAACAGTTCATCCAAACACTCACAACTTGGAAATGTGGATAAATCACATCTAGATCCCAGGATCTCCAGTCTGGGTTTTGTGGAGCAAAAGTTGCACTGAACAGATTTTGAAGGGAAAATTATGCACCACTTATTGTACCATATTTATCCCTTTGTTTTCCAGAAAGCTGTGGGACATCTTTCCCATTGACAAACCTCAGAAAGTGAGAGAAGCTAGACTCAGGTGATGGGAGCATGGAGGATTCATAGATAGCTAGACTGATCAATGAGATTAGATTGAATGAAATAAAGTACAGTGCTCTTGGGGAAACCTTAGAGAGCTTTGGCTGTGCTTAGTTCCCAGACTCTTGGATGCTTATCCAAGCTCTTGCATCTGTGGAATTAAACTAGAACCATGGTGTTTGGATTGTCCAGTGCCTCAGAAATGACCGCAATGTTACCTCCAATCTCGGTGTGTGCAGGGAAGTGGTCCCAGGTTTCTGGCTTTATTCAGACCTAGGCCCTTGGGAGCCAGTGATCCAAGAGTCCAACTGGAACATGTGAAAATTACCTGTTCAGAGCAGTCTGAAGACAGGCCTAGAACAAAGTCTCTCCCTAAAAAAAGAGAAGTCTTGGACCTATTCTGCGCTACTAATACTTTGTAAAAGGAGAAGGCCTTGGATTGCATGATTGAGAAGCCAAGAGATTTTCCACTTGTCAGCAGCACAGTGCATATGCTCCCTTTGCCGTCCCTAATATTTCTTGTGGCAGATAAAATGAGGATCAGTGAGGAAATAGCTAAGGCTTGATCCTTGCTCTACACAACATCTGGAAGCAAGCCTCGTAGCTTGGCTCTGCAGACTTGCTCTGGCAAGGCTTGCATTAGAGTGCTAAAAAAGATGTGTAGATGTTACAGCTAAAGCCAAGTCTGGGGAGATAAACCCTAATGTCTACATAGTTGTTTTTAGCATGCTAGCACAAGTCCTGCTAATACAAGTCTGTGAACCCAGGTTGGGCAGCTTGCTCCCAGATGAAGTGTAGACAAACACTTAATGATTTTCTTTTCATAGGCTCCAGCTCTGGCAAA